CACCCTCGGTAACCCTTCCCTCAACAGATTCCAGCCAGCCTGTCTCTGTCTTCACCAATGTCACACACATGCGAGTGCGAGTGCACACATACACACACACATACACAGACACACACACACACAGACACACACACACAGACACACACACTGGCAGGCAGCCAGACATTGGCGGTTGGACGCTCTGTCAGATTTAGACACATAATTACTGTCCTAGCTTTTGAGAGCTGTGTATGTGTTTTTTCCTCTGTGTCTGTGTCTATTTAAGTGTGCTATATGTGTGTTTTACATGGAGTGTGTTTATGTTAAGTTATGTTAAGTGACACTGGGACAGAGTTTCCCTGCTTGCATGTTGACACATTATTGTTAATTGACAACAGGACCTGACTTATAAACAGACATATTAAGAGACAGCAGACAACTTCCAGTGAGACACATCTGTACTACTACACAGGGACATTTGAAAAAATAAAATGTAAATGTTTTGTGTGTCTTTCTAAAATTAGGCTTCAAGAATAACCACTATGGCTTTGAAATCAAACTTGTTATCCACTGGCGCCACCATGTGGGAAACATGTGCAGGTTGCTTACAGCTGATGTTTTTAAAAGACAAGAAGGTGAGGGCATGGTGTCACATTGGTTGAACATTTATGCTACAGTTAGCCACAATTACAGTATCTGACCCAACGTGATACAAAAGTTACACCATGGTAGATAAGCAGTGTTTTTTCTTGCCATTGTCCTCATAGATATTCTTTTAAAAATGTTCTGTTCATTTTCTTTTTTTTGTGTGTTTGCTCTCAGATTTACATTTTATTGTCCAGTCTTTCATTAATGAAATTATTTCACTTGTAGTTTTCCTGATGTTGATATTTGGTTTGTTCTGTCTTGTTTTAAAATCGCTGTTTATTTTGAGTTAGTATTTTATGTGGAGCTCCAAAAACCAAAAAAATAGGCAAGAACTTTGTGGAAGCTAATGGGGATCAAAGTTAAGAAAAATAAAGAGTAGATTACTATTATAGATGAGTAATTGATAGATTACTTATGGATCTTATACAATATTAGGAAATAGATGATTTTAATTGATGTCAGTTGATTACATTTCAGTTGCATTTTGCTATAGCAGCCCTTCTGGAGTAAAATGGGACTTCTGTAAATGACAGCAAACTTTAAATTTGGGGTCTTTAGTTGCATTCACATTAGTTATGTATAATTGTGTTCTTTTACTACCACAGTATTTTTAAATACTTTTAGGATTCAAAGTATTTTAGCCACTGTAGAACTGCTGTTTATTTCATTCATAAAGTCTTACTTCTATTTAATGGCAAATGTTGAGTTTGATAGACTGACTCTTTATGTCTCAAATCAAATTCTTTCACGGCTGTCCTCGGGCCAACCAAAGAGCTGAACAACTCCTACAAGCTGCCCGACATTAAGAACGCTCCAGTCAAGCGCTCAAGGCCAAAGAGTGTGAATGTGCACAGGCCGCCATGTGCACTGCCACCAATCCAAAAAGAAAAAAGAAACTTGACGAGAGCCTCCAACTGTCCCCAACTGCAGACAAGCAGAGAGCTGAGAGTCTCAGAATGGAAAAAGCAAAAAAAGGAAGAAAATTATGTGAATATTGAAGTCATCAACTCTCTCACATCACTTTTGTTGCTGCTAAATCACTTCTAAATCACGCCTTTATCAGTTGTTTTCACCACCATTATAATACTGCAGATGGGGCCAGCAGCACCCACCACCAGTAGGCCAGAAGATGAATAGCATCTATTATTATCACTGATAAATGAATCACGTTTACAACATGTTCTTATTGCACAGTTAATAATTAAAATGTTACACACACACACACACACACACACACAAACACACACAAAAGCTTGCTGAGGTCTCACCCTTCATGCAGGAGGTGGAGTCTTTACAGTCATCCTCTTCTCTGTTCTCACTAATAACAAGGTCCGGCGTCATTCTGTGGTTGTTTTTCTCCTGAAGCAGCTGGGGAATTAAATTGTGAAGAAATGGATGCTGAGACAAGGGACAGCAAAAAAACATTTTTCCGGAAGCCCGATTGCATCCTGTGGACGGCAACATGTGTGGTGATAACATATGTGGTAAGTATTCTTCTCAGTGCATCGATAGATCATCTTGTGGTGTTACTTTCTTTCTTTAGTGGTGTATTTATTAATGATAAATCTACCGGTATTAAGTATTAACAACCCAATAAAGTAACAATACAATACCACTAGGCTCTTTAATATATACTGACCATATTTTTTTTTTTAATCAACAATCTTAAAGTTGCCAGATACGTATAGAGGAGTAAAAAGTACAATATTTATCTCTATTTATCTATTTATTTATGAAATGTAGAGATCCAGAAGTAGTAAAGTACTCCACCATGGTTTTTACAAGGAGTGAAATTCATAGTGCGTCCTGTTTTATGGTGTTTTATTGCAAATTGGCTTAGTCTATGAATATTGGGGTATATGGCATTTGTTTATATACTACATTGTTCCCTTTACAAATTAACAATACCTAAGTTGCTGTTGCTTTCCAGGTCTGGTGTATACTGTTGTTCATCTTGACAGCATCAGGACAACTTTCCAACAGCCAGAGATTTGAATGTGGGAACAGCAAAGAGGTAAAAACTACACAATCATCAGATTAGCAACAGTGAATGATTGTGAAAGACACAATTCAGGTGCCAGAATTATTATTATTTTTTAAATATTTGATGATAATAGCAAAAGTCATTATTATATATTCCGTACTTTAGAATAAAAGAATAGCAAATTCAGTCTCCTTTGGTTTTGGGTGCAACAATCTAGACAGCAATATTAGATTATCAAAGGAAGTAAATAAGGAGCTTTATGCACACTGAGTTCACTTACTGCCATTTTGTTAAGTCTGTGGCAAATAACCTTGGGGTAACCTTTGATGGTCTCTTATCCTTTGAGCAACAACCCACAAATATCACCTGACCTTGTTTTTTATCAGTAGTCTAAAATAAGACACATGCTCAATTTTATTGATACATAAAAAGTAATAAACACTTTTATATCATCACTCTCTGACCTTTGACCTGCTTAACTGCTCAAAACCAACCTCTACAGGCAAGCCTTTTATAGATATCCTTGTCTTGCTTTATTCTCCATCGTGTCGTGTCTCTGTTTAGTTTACCTCCTCCCCTTTTGTTTTAACGTTCCTTTGTTGTTTTTCGATGCTTCTTTATGGTTTGTGTTTCTTTGTGGTGGTTGTTATGTTGTATTATTTGTTGGTTTGGAAACGCACGTTTGGATCTCTGTGGTCAAAAAGGTGCTACTATAACATAAGTTTCTACTGTACTTCACTTACTGTAACTCCGGCACTCCAGCAGCCAGATTACTGAAAACACGTTATCAATTTTTTTTTCCATGCAATTGTATGGTGTTTTATGTCATCACATACTGTATTTAAATTTAGCTTGTTTTAGTATCATCTGTGTTGCACTTTTATCTTATTATATATCGTGCACATCTATGGGGATGACTCACATTGGTCTTTTTTATTATTAAATATATGTATATAATATGTCTCTAAATGTATGGAGATCCCAGTGTGCTCTAAAATAAGGAGGCCTAAAACAAATATTGAACCAGTGAATTGATGCTTCTCACGCAAGATTTTATTCTTGCAGGATCTTGTAGCGTCAGGGCTGAAAAACGAGGCCACACTGGTGTATTTGTGGTCAGGGCTCAGTCTGCTGGGCTGTTTCTTGCTGTTGCTGGAGATGTGGAGAAGGAAGGGCCACTTTTGGAAAATGGTATGTGGACATCAGTGTGTAAGATCTGATTTATATATATTCACACAGGAAGAAACATCAACTCAACTCAAATTGTCTTTCTCCTCTCTTGTAGTTACTAGGTGTGTCATTTGTCCTGGTTTTGACCATGTCTATATCTCTTGATGTATTTGGGAAAAAAGAGAGTCAGGTAGGTGAATCTCACCTCTCCTGTATAGTTGAATGCTGTAAATAAGTTCATTTTTCACACTGGAAACAGCAGTTTGACAAAAGGAAAATCTTAACTCAAGGTCTGCTAATACATTTGCTTTTTTCTGGAACTTTCAACCACATCTCACA